CCCTGAGAATTTTCGGTTTTTCAGGTTTAGTCATAAACTTTATATTGAATCTTTCGCTTCAAAGGTTCCTATCGTACATATTTAAGTGTTGAGATTCTAATTGAATGAGTCTACATTTATTTGGTATGCCATCAGAACGACTAATTTTCATCCCTTAGGTCACTTTTTTACAACTATAAGTCACTATTTAATCACTTATTTCGTCAACATGGTCACTAAAATCACTATTTTGACAGCATTGATCGCTACCAGCACTGTATCTAGCGTGCAGTAATTTCTAGTACAGGAAGCCATCTACTATTTACCATACAATCCAGCATGCATCATATTTCAACTATTGCATACTTCACGGTGTAAATCGTTCAATTGTGCTCAATAAACATTTAAATGAAAACTTTCAACCATTAATGATATTACAAATATAATTTAACCATGTATGGTGGGAAAACCAAATGAAATACCATTTCAGTTCTTCACCAAGAATATTTAGAATGTCAAAACAAGACATTTAACATTAAGACACTATGGCTAGTTGTTTTAAAATTGTCTGATTGATTCTGTTTACTTCAGAGAGAATTTCTTCAAAGAAATTTTAATATTATTTTACAAACACTTGCTGGATGGCAATACTGAGCCAAATATAATTAAAGTGATTGATCCAAAGTATTCAGTAGTATCTAAATAGGACATTTGCATACTTAAACATCATTGCTATTTTTTTAAATTGCCATTATGTTTAAGTATTCAAATGTCTTCTAAATATAGAAGAACATTCACATGCAAAAACATGTTTTGTAAGTCATCATGGCATAAAGTTGGACTCAAAAAACCACAAAACATCGTCTTTTCGGTTTTGCTGAGAGTCCAATATTTTTTCATGTATCTCATCAAATATTTTTACATGTTATTTTTGTCAACAATCTAAGGATGAAACTGATTTTCTTGAAAACGTGTCGAAAATATTATTTTTTTTATTAAGGGGCGCTGAAAAAAAAATTGTTTTTTTGGTTTTTCTAAAAATATTAGATAAGTTATTCAGTCTAGAATAAATCAGTTATTTTCACCAATTCTTAAGAAAATTTTGGCTTAAATTTTTTTTTTCAAAATCATCGTTGCAAAAAAAAATCTCAAAAAATCGCAATAATCGACCTTAACTTATTTTTTTCATGATGTGATAGAAAACAAAATGGGCATGTATTTTTTTCAGGAATCTAAGGAAAACTGATTTTTTAGATTTTTTAAAGGGTAAATGTCGGCTTCGCCATTCACTGTTTTCGGCAACAACAAAATATACGGTAATTTCACTGTATTTTCTCACCAAAACACTTCGCTGAATGTATTCAAAGGATTCCTTAAAGTTTCAGCTTCAATATGATATGGTTTTATGGCTGAGCAATTGCATGTTTACAGCTTTTTCTTGAAATGAAACACACGCACTATAAAATGCTGCTGATTTCGAGTTGATGGTAATGGAACAGCAGATAAGAAAGCAGATCAAATGGAAATGTTGCCGAATAAAAAGAGGCTACCGACAATAGTTACACTCACCTGAGAAGCTTGGAGCGTTGTAGAAGTGCTTTTATACAGTTTTGGACAACTCTATCGATTGGAATGGATAAAGCAGCAGGCAGCAGCAGAATGTAAACATCCAAACGCGGCAAATGTGTGCGTTACATAGAGAAAAAGCCAAGAGAAGCGTGGACGATGCTTAGATTTGCCATAAATTTCCGTTTATAGGGGAAATGGCTCTAATGTTGGCCTATGGATCTAAGATTGGGCCCATCGCTTAAAATGCACGCGTCATTGGGACGGTACTAATGGATATTTTTTGTTGCTATTAAAAATTTAGTCGATTACTGAATTTATGTATGGGCCCAAATTAGGGACACTCAGGCCGACATTACATACATTTCCCCTATTTCCAATATTTTTATAAATTTCAAAAGGTGCCAGTACAACTGTTTTTTTTGCGGTGGGGAAGCTCACACACTTAGATTATTTTACAGGAGCTAGTATGTTTTACTGGGTTTTTTAATTGGCGCAAAACTCGGTAACAATTCAAATGAACGTTATTCGTAACGAATCAATGAAATTTTTCTAATTATATTTTTTATCATTAAATGGAGTTAACCGAACTAAGTCCATTCAAGTTTGGAATAAATTATCTCATTTTTGAATTTTCCACAGATTTTTAAATGTTTACCGAACAGTTCCGCAATTGAACCTTACTGACTGGATTTAGTGTGTACCAATTGAATGAGCGCAAATTAACGCCATTTTCTCCCGAAACACCCACTGGGCCCAAGTACCTACACAATATCACCTATTGTTGTCCCTTATTCGCCCCAACCAGGATCATTCTACCTACGTCGGTTTGATCGTTGGAGAACCTACTTCCGAACAAACGACGCAGCAACCACCAGCATCAAAAAGCGACTGCCAGCCTCTCTCATTCATCAGTTTTCCGAAGAACAACAACAACATCCACCACTTTAACGATGATGATGCCCAATGACGTCTTCGATATTGGGGGGCCAACACACCGTCGCAGCGCATAGGGAATCGTGGTGTGACCAAACTGCCGTACCTCCCGGCACTCAACTCCCACGTCCTCCCGGGCTTCTTGGCCTGACATGACGTTGTTCGTTTCCTTCTGACTATACTATACACATATCCAAGGCGCGCAACGCCCGGCAGTTTTTCTTCTTCGGACGTTCAGGTATTTGTTGTTGTGATACGTAGCGCTGCTGGTATGGTGGTGACACGACGCAACCGCAAACCCGTACACGCTGCCATATAAATTAAATTGTACGCCGGTTGCACTAGTTCAGTTTCTACTAAGCCTTTAACGAGTCTAGGAGAAGAACACACAGGATCTCAACGGAGATTTGAATTGAGAGAGCAAGCCAAATAAGTCCCTTCAACAAGGAGTCCAGTGTTGTGCGCGCAGAAGAATCAAGATATATGTCCTGAAACAAAGACATTGCGAATCGTGTGCAATTTGTGGCGTGCCTTCTGATAAACTGTGGTCAATAATCTGTGATAAGAGGAAAAGGACTGACTGAAGGAACTGAAGGTGTGATTTCGAAGGAAGTTACATCTATTAGTCGGAAGTGTGCATTTAGGATTTTCTTTGGACCCAAAGAAAACCACTAAAAAAAACCGTCAAAATTTTGTTGGTAATAGTGATCAGTGTTGTTGTTTGCTGTTTAACTGCATATTTCGTGATGGGCGCTGTTAAGGTGAATATTCATGCTTCGGAAGCATTTGAGTTGTGGAGTTGTTGCAAAGTTAGAATTATTGTTAAAGTGAGCTGCAAGCTGGTTGGAGAAACGGATTGATGCTGAATGGAGCTGTTATTTGTTCGAATAAGGATCGATCAATTCCATTGAGTCAACAAATGAAAACCAGTGAATGGAAGATATGAGATAATTATTAGTGACTCTGAATCTTCGATAATAAAATGTTGCGACGTTTACTACCTACACAGTGTTCAAATGGATTTATCTCGAACTCTTAAGTTTTTAGCTTCTATTTACTATACAAATCTGTAAACTAACCTTTCTTCATTGTGAAAACGTTCTCTCAAGAAAATAACTTCCTAGTTGTGGTGCACAACATTTTGTTATATAACAACTTATGATTTTTCCATAAAATACTTCATTAAAATTTTGAGTGCTATTTAGGTTGCAACAATTTCTATGTTAAGTGATTTTTGTATTGTCTCTTTCAGAGTCTATTTTTTAAATTTAGTGATTATTTTATTCTTCATTCCTACCGTGGAATATTTTGCTCGTAAAATTTGAACTTTTCAAACTCATGGTTTACAGTGATTGTTTGCGTTTTTTTAACTTACTAACTATTATTGGATTTTATTTTACCAATTTGAATAATTATGTTAAATCACAAAAAAAAGATTACATAATAAAAAAAATATTTAAAATTTAGTGAAACTGACTAATAATTAGACGCATGCAGATTGCAACGGTTCATAGTTCTTGATTGATGTCGAATTTCCCCACATTTAAAACTCTGTAAGGAGGGCATTCCGATCCTATCTACTCGCGCATTAATACCTTGTTACTTGTCCGGCTCATCAGCTCCAAATTTAGTGAAATCCATTCTTTTGACCATAACCTAGCCAATCGAGTTTGTAAATTAATTAACCGATTAACGCCCAATGATCAATTTATAGATCATCATTTTTTTTTCCTTTATCATGTCTTAATGGAAATTGGGAATGTAAATTATGTTTTTAACATAACTAAAATGATCTTTGGAATATCCTTAACATCATGTTTTCAAATAGTGTGAGCATAATTCTTGGGTTACTTGGGCTTTAACAGGTTAATGTATTAATGGCAGTATGACATCAAAGAGGCTGACAAAATTGTCAGATTTAAGTTATTTGAAATCAACCGGATATGGTTACCAAAAATTTAGGTTATAAGAGCATCTTCTTTTACCTCCTAGCTTAACCCGTTTGAGAAGCTACTTTGGTCAACGCAACCACAACGGAAATATCTAATTTATTAAATAACCCCATATTTAGCCATCTTTGATAGACGCACGTTGCAATTGATTTAATTCTTTTTAGAAAGTCCTATTTGGATCAACCATTTAATGCCCCATGCTTCGGCAGCGTCTTAGCCAGATTTATGTCTCGTAGGTGGTCTGGCGTGCACATGGCTATAATTCATTTAACACGACAGACCATCGTTTCCCTAAACGATTCCCACATTATATTGCCAACTTCCTGCCATGATGCAGTAAGCCAGCTTGCCATTTGCTTCCATATTCTCAACTCAAACTGAATCGCATTTGGTAAGATCGTGTGGGTGGGTGTAGGAAATTTTCCTATTACCAGCTTTCCTTTCGTGGGTGACCGAAGCAAACTTGTCTGTCTATCTGTCTACCATTCCATCCCGCCTAACGGCGACATCGGTGAACCGTTTCTAATTGCAGCTCCTTTCTTTTGTTTTTTTCCTCTTTGATTGCAGCCAACTGAGGATGCTGCTGCAGCTGCCGCGGCCGCTGCCCCAGCGACGAGCGCCACCGAGACGAAAACCGAGGCCGAAGTTGTCCCCGAAGTCGTGAAAGCGGTTGAGGAATCAACCGTGGAAGCCGTCGTCGCCTCGCCCGCCCAAGAGACTGCCCCTGCCACTGCGGAAACCACCCCGGCCACCGAAACTGCCCCCGCTCCAGCTGCTGAAGCTCCCGCCCCGGTCCCAGCCGTTGAGAACGGCAAACCGGAAGAGAAGAAGGTAGAAGAGAAAAAGCCAGCCCCCGTCGCCCCCGTCGCAGAACCGGAATCGGTGCAGGAAATCGAAAAAGTGGTCGAACCGGCCGTTGTTGAGGTAAACAAAGCAAAAGAAGTCGAACAGACGCCACCGGCGGCGGAGGTAGCCGCCGTTCAGACTGAAACCAAATCCGAACCTATTGTTGTTGAGCAAAAAGAGAAACCAGTAACCGAAGTAGTATGCGACAAACCGACAGCGGAGGCGGCGGCGGTGGCGACGGAAGCTGCACCGGTAGTGGCCGAAGTCGTTGCTGAAACCGCTTCTGCTGAACCGGTTGTCGTCGCTGATAATGGTGATAGCACGCCTCCACCTCCTCTGCCCTCCATTCCTCCTCCCTCCCAGGTGATGGTATTTGCAGAAGCTTCCATGTCCCAGGGTACTACCGAACCCGAACCCGATTCCCTGAATTCGATCCCGGAACCGTCCCCCTTGCCGGAAGTTCAGCAGGAAAAGAAACAAGAAGAACAGGTTGCTGTGGTAGAAGAGAAGGCCGTTTCAGCTCCAGTTGAGGCTACTCCGGCTCCAGTTGAGGCTGCTCCAGCTCCAGTTGAGACTGCAGTAGCGGAAGAACCAGTCGCCGAGAAGAAGGTCGAAGAGAAACCAGTCGAAGCGACTCCAGTACCAGCCGTCACCGAGGAAGTCAAGAAGGAAGAGGTTCCAGTTCCGGTGGTTGAAGAGAAAGTCGTCGAGAAAGTAGTTGAAGCAGTGCAAGCCGCTGTCCCGGTTGCAGAAAAGGTCGCTGAACTAAAGGAAACCGTCTCGGAGGTTGTCGATCAGATTCTGGACAAAGCCGTCGAAAAGGTTGAGGAACAGGTTGCGGCCCCAGTCGCCGAAGAGCCGAAGCCAGTTGAAGCACCCAAGGAAGAGGCCAAGGTTGAGGAAAAACCAGTGGACGCCGCACCTGCGCCAGTGGAAGAAAAACCTGCCCCGGTTGAAGAAAAGCCCATTGTTCCGGTGGAAGAGAAGCCGGTTGAAGCCACACCAGCTCCAGTAGAGGAAAAACCCACCCCAGTTGAAGAGAAGCCAGTTGAAGCCGCTCCAGCTCTAGTGGAGGAGAAACCCGCCCCAGTGGAAGAGAAGCCAGTTGAGCAAGCGCCAGCCCCACTGGAGGAAAAGCCAGCTCCAGTAGAACAAAAGCCAGTCGAACCAACGCCAGCTCCTGTCGAAGAGAAACCCGTTGAAAAGGTGACAGCTCCAGTGGAGGAAAAGTCCGCCCCAGTTGAGGAGAAGCCAGTTGAAGCCGTCCTAGCTCCAGTGGAGGAGAAACCAGTTGAGCAAGCGCCTGCCCCAGTTGAGGAAAAGCCAGCTCCAGTTGAGGAAAAGCCAGTCGAACCAACGCCAGCTCCTGTCGAAGAGAAACCCATTGAAAAGGTGACAGCTCCTGTAGAGGAAGCAAAACCAGTGGAAGAGAAGCCCGCCCCGGTGGAAGAAGCAAAACCAGTCGAACTTGTCCCAGCGCCTGAACCCCTCTCGGAATCCGACGAAATCAGCAACACAATTGACGATCTGCCACCGCCACCACCACCACCAGCCACCGACGATGAGCCGGCGCTAGATTCGCTTCCCTCGCCGCTTCCCACGATTGCAGCTGCCGCACCAGCCGATGCTACCGCCGCCGACGAACAGAATCTCTCCGTCGATATTTCCTCTCCACTTCCACAGAACTCGCTCGAATCTCTTCCATCACCGCCCACTCTGTCCCAGAGTGATGCCATGAGCTTACCTCCCCCGCCAGAATCTCCCTCCGCCACACTGACCTCGCTGGAGGCCACTGAACAGCCACTTCCCGCTGCTCCCGTTTCCGAACCTTCTGCACTTCCCACGCCTCCAGAATCCGCCCCGGTAACCACCTCCGAATCACAGCCAGAGACTCAGGCCCCGGTCGTAGTAGCGGAAGAGAAGCCAGTAGTGGAAGAGACGACGACATCGACGGCGGCGGTAGAGAAAACACCCGTGACAGAAAAACAGGTGACGGTGGCGGCGGCGACGACGACGGCGGCAGTAGCACCAGCACCAAGCAAGAAAGAAGATCAGGTGGTTGAAGAGAAGGAAAAACTAGAGGCGCCGGCGCCGCAGCCAACCGAAGCAACGGAGATTGTCGTCAAAAAGGTGAATACCATTTCTTAAAATCAGCCAATCAAACCAACCAGATTCGATACCCTTCCGGTATTCAGCTCGTCTCTTTTTCCCTTGCATTTTTTTTTTCCGAGTTGTGATTTTTTTTTTATTAAACTAGTTTTTAACAATCATTTCTAAATAGTGCCATTTGTTTCTTGTTTTGTATATTTGCCAACCACCACCACCACCATCTACTATGTCTCAAATCTTCCCGAACAGGCTCAGGAACACATCGTTCTGATATTTGTTTCTTTTCATTTATTTGTTTTCGCTTCCTACTTTTGGTTGTACATTACATTCAATGGATTTTGATTGGATCCGGTTTTTCTTCTTCTGTTGTTTATATTTTATAATGATTAGATGGGAAATTCTTGACTCTACAAGTCTGCTGGTTGTGTGAATTGTCTTCTACCGTTTCTCCTCGGACATATCTCGCGGTTGAGTGCACAATCCAATCAAGACTCCTGCGAACTTTATTTTGCAAAATTTGTGTTCTATTTCACGTCTTTCGTTTAGGAGTTTGATTTTTGTTGTTTTCAGTTTTTTTTTTCTGGTAGTTCGATGGTACACTGAATTATATCGACTGGCTGAGTTGTTGAATTTGTCGTGATTCCTTCAGATGTTGTTCCAGAGAGACTGAACCTGGAAACGCAAAACTCTCAAGGCACTGAAAGGTAGAAGACCTCAGACCCAACTTTCGAATGAGCTCCCAAAAAAATGTTTCCTACGGTTTCGTACGCAACAGGTCTTGAGCATCACAAGAACTCTAGAAATATATCCATGAAAAGAGGTTCCTATGATGATTTAAAAAAAAAACTATCAGAAAAACCGGCAGATGTTCAGAATTGATCATAATGTGCAGAAATCTAAATTCTGGTTGAGATGTTCATGTTCCAGAATAACAAATCGTTCAACAAAAAATTCAAAAACCTACATTTCCATGCATTGCTTCGGAGTCCCCTTTAAAATGATCTCAAACAAGCCTTGTTTGGTTGCAATACTATTCAAGGTGAATCAAGTAGTTGACTCCTTCAGAATGGTCTAAAAAGGCCTTTAAAACAAACCTCCAGGGAGAATTCTTAAAGGCCGCCTCCAATAAACTTAAATCTTTTTTGGAACTAACTTTCTAGTCATTTGGATTAATTTGGAGATTTTCTAGCGTTGTTTTGGAGATCCCTTGGACGTACCGTGGGGACTAGCCATGGAGATACATTGGAGAGGCCTTAGAAGATACTGGCCCAAGAGGCAACCTGGAGGTTCTCAGAACTTGCCCTGATGGATATCAAGATCATCTCTGGAGACTCTCGTAATTTACTCTTCAGTCAATTGGACTTCCAATGTTCTGGAGGTCTTCTAGGTTTGCTCTAGAATCTATATAAATCTGCTCTGGAAGTCCTCTGGGCTTGCCCTGGAGGATTTATGGACTTGTTGTGAAGACTCTATGAGCTTAACCTGGTGATCCTTTGACTTAGAGTGTTCATTTTAAAAATTCCCGGGATGAGATGTTTTCATTCTTTTTTATCCTGTATGGGATTTCTCTTGAGGTTTTCTGGACTTGATGCTAGAACTGTCTGGTCTGGCCCAGTTTAGGAAAGCCTGGAACATAATTCTTGTTTGGATGTTCAGTATCATTTGTAGAATTTGGACTTTAAGCTGGAGATCTTTGGATTCATCATGGAGATCCACTTGTCCTCTAGCAAATGTTTGCTTGTGTTGGAGTTGTTTGTAGGGTAACGGAGCCTATATTCGGCCTATGCTCCTATTTTGGGCCTAACCTTAAAACTCAGGATTGAAACAACTTGTCACTGATTTTCAAATGCTAATGAGATATTATGCAATTCATTCTGTTTCATTTTAGCATTAATATCTGGCAAAAGTTTAGGCGAAAATAGGCTTCGTAACCCTACTGCAAGGGACTTTCCTTCAACGACTTCTAAACTTGACTTCGTCCAATAAACTTCAATCCTACCTCAATGCACGTTCTGCCCTTGTCGTAGAGATCATAAAACTTTATCCTGTGGTCCTTTAAATTTGCTCTGCTGGTACTCTGTGTTTACCTTGGAGATCCTTTAGACTTTTTTGAGATACTCTGGAGATCATTTAGACTTACACTAGAGACGCTGGAGATCTTCCAGCCTTGATTGGATTTACCATGAAGATTGCACATGTCTTGGAGGTTTTCAGGGCTTGAACAGATACTTCCTAGACTTAACCTAGAGGTCTATAGTATTGAGGTATTAACCTGTTCTATACTCATCTGGGCACCGCTAATGTTGCTCTGTAACTTATTTTGATTTTCTCTGTATGGAGGTGTTCTGGGTTTGCTTTATAGGCTTTGTGACATTAACATACAAGTCCCTTACTTAGGAGGTTCTTTCGATGTGTCGTGGAGACCTTGTGAACTTGAACTCTAAATCCTCTGAATTTGATCTAGAGGTAGGTTCTCTGGACTAGAGAATCCTGTTCGGGGTTTCTCGGGAAACTGGATCCTTTACTCTGGGACTTGTTCTGAATACCCTCTGGACTCAACCTGAAGGACGTTTGGAGTTGTTTGTACCTTCTCCTCAAGGATTTCGGGACTTAAAGATCTCGGAAGTACCAAGGAGTACAAGGAGTTTTGATCTTATGATGCTCAGAGTACATTATCCCTTTACTGCCGGAACATGGGACAGTTTAGGGTGTATTGGAGTGATCCTTTACAAACTATCGCAACTTAAAATAATCATTGCCTATATTATTTTTAGTATGCTTGAATGTGCTTTATTGAATCACAGCCAATCAGTTTCCTCCCATTCTGCTCGATCTTCAGAATAGCCAGGATATTGTTCTGCCGATCAGCACATCCGTTGCACGATTCACAATGATGCTTGATAACGAAAGCTAACTTGAAAAATGGCGTTCAAATATGCTTAAATTTACCGTTGAACCTTTCGATTATATAATAATGTTGTAGAAATACGACTCTATCAACCCAGATCCTTATAATTCAGTGTACATTGTATCATACTTAAAGTTCAATTTTTTTTTCAATTGTTTCATCCTAGCTAATCTTGAGTTAGTCTAGAGTCGTTGCAATAGTATGCGAATGTTCTATATTTATAAAGGTTTCATAGTTTGTTTGGTATTGTATCGACCGAGCCATTAGGATTTTTACAGAATGTTAATCTCATCCAATCATCCAGCCGAAGACGACATTCATCTCTGTTAGTGATCAGTGTGCATTGTTCTCTTACCTAATTATCTCTCGATCGAAATAGTTCAATAGACATATAATTAGATTAGAATGCATTATAGAGGCTAGAAGCTAATCACAATAGTCGTTGTTTGTAAGTGCCGCAGCTGCTGCGATCCGTTGTAATAAGCCTAATTCGTGTGCGTTTCATTCACTGTGCAACCGCTAACTCTCTCTCTCTGCTGGATCATGTTTGCCATAAAAAAATAAAACAGTAAGACGAAGGAAAACGCAAAGCAGCCGATATAACACCAAAACAAAGTAAGGAGCCGAAACAGAGAATGCACCTACTTCCGCGCGCTACCATCGTGTTGGCATCTTTGGAGTTTCCGCGTTTGAAGCGCCGATGTCTTCCTAATCCTACGTGTCTCTACGTGTGCGTCATTGTTCTAGTGCAAGCGACTTTTATCCTTTCCTTTAACCGTCTAATTCCGACGAATCCGAATCATAACTGCAAGTAACTAACTACCGGAAAAAAGCCTTCCCATCCCATAAATAGTTGTACCGCTTGTACCGTGTTATCCCAATGAAATGTGAAATCCTCAGACCTTCCCACGACACGATTCGATCCCTTTATTCCCAAAACGCTTTTAAATGTTTCCAACGAAAGTATAAATAACACTTTTGTTAAAATTCCGTTACCAAATAAGCAAACTAAGTTCACCTTGATTCCAAACTAAGAGCATTACTACAATTATTATTCGTACGGAATTTCTAAACACAGAGCTTGCCTAACTCTTCGCTGCTCACTTGAATTAATGTATCTACATATTACCTGCTAGTTTTGTAAGTGGTTGCGGACTACTCAGTAGCTAATTAACACCCAAATCGATCAAAACGAAGCATTATTAATAAACTGTTTAATGTTGTGTAGTTCTTGTTCATCCTAGAGAGTGCTACCTATTAGTAGTGAACTTCTATCCTCGCAAATCAAAATCCATCCCTCACACGAGAGTTTGCTGCCAACAACTCACATTCCCTTCTCTCATTACCTATATTATAAACCATAGCAAATTGTAGCGAAAATTGTACATAACTTAGTGCACCCGCACCTCACCGTTGGTTTTTTTTTTCTCTCTCTTTCTCGTTCTCTTTCCCTCTCATACTGTCTTCATCACCTCCTCTGACCACTCTGACACTGCCACACCTCGTGTGTCTGTCGACTTCCATATCACAACGTCTCCTCCGCTATTGTGTGAATTACAAAAACAGCAAAACGGAACCGCCGCCGTCGAGAATGGAACCACGGAGAACGGAACGACCGAAAATGGCACGGCAGCTGCAGTGGAAAACGGCCAGAACGGCGTGCACGAGACGTCCACCACGGAGAGCATGAACGGTGATACCGCACACAAAAAGGAGGTGAGTTGATTTAGCATCTTTACGGAATCAGGGGATGAAAGTCCTGTTTCAGAGAGGATGATTTCTAAATGGAAGTACACATTTTAGATAGACATTGTTCCTTCACATGAAAAAATATATTACAATCGTTCACCAAGGCGATCACTCAAATAAACATGTTCCATTTAGCAAAAAATAGGGGTACGCATATTCCGCATTTGTCGAAGTCCAAAAACTATTTTCATGTTCTACCTTCCACTTTCCAAAATTCGGCTTACTTAACGAGGGTGGTAAGTGAACCAGGAAGACCAGAAAAATGTCGGAAATTTTGTTTTACCAGGAAAAAACCGTGAATTTTTAAGCAAAACCTGGCCCGATAACGTGGGTATATCACCTTTTCGTGGTACGTTACGGGATGTAAGATCTACCACCGATTCCTAGTCTTGACTACTTCAAACTAGGGGAACAGGATTTTAAAGTAATCCAAGGAACACATCTTAGTCCTTGTTACTTTTTATGCCTTGTTGATAGTGACAAGACTCGGCTTTGCCTACCGAGGATGATCTTGAAACAAGGCAAAAAAATGAGTTAGTTAGTCTTCATCTATGTGATTCCTAATCTTCTCTTCGTTGTTCCCTAGTTTGAAGTGGTTAAGACTAGGGTTCTGATGCATGGTCGTTATCGGTGTCATACCTTAATTTTGTTGCTAAGGAATCCAATTTTGACTGACAAAGGGGTGCGCTTTTGGAGGGTGTTTCAACACTCCGAAGGGTATAAATAGCGGGACCTTTCAATTGGGTTCTTTCAGGGTATTGAGGTAAATGCATATTCGTAATCTGCATTAAAAATTGAACCCAAACCCAAAATTTGATCAATTTTGGTACACTGGAACTATTTTAAATAAGAACGATTACATTTGCAAAAATCAACTCATTAGCGCCCCTCGGTTTCACTTTGTATGGGAGCGAGCTGTCAGTTTGTCAGTTTAGTGTCAAACAGTGAAGTTGTTATTTTGATTTAAATCTTGATTTAAAAATCGAGATGAAAGTTTGTTGGTTCGAAAAAAATATCGCTGTGCTCAAAAAACGAAGCTCTGTCAGATGATATATAAAAACCGATATATTTTTCAAAATTAAAGAACCCAATTAGAGTCGGATTCTTGCGATAAATGCAAGAGTGGTAACTGTCAAAAAATCGAATACTTCATCATTTCTCAATAGTGATGGAGTAATACCAATACGACATGCACTAAAATAAGGACACGGGATATACTACAACAAATCAATTTACTGGTCGCAGTAGTGTTAGGTCCCGAACAGAGGAAAAAAAAGCAAAACCAGGAAAATAATAATTTACAGATGCATGTCGGTTTGAAATGATGACGTTACTATTAGAATAACCAAACGAACCGTCAAACGGTGAACCAAACGAGCAAAGTAAATAAACATTATTGTTCGATCAATTCACCATAAAGGAGTATTGTTCTCAATGATGAAAAAAGTTTTTAATTATTTTCACGAAATATTTGATATCTGTTATTTATTTTTGATTCAATTAAATACAACATTTATTAGTGATGAAAAACAATTTAGAATCGGAACGTTTTATTCAGTTTTATGGTAATAAAAATGATTACGCTGCAAGCAAAACAGTAAAATATGACAAAAAATATACTGTCATGGAGCGACTGTCATACTTGACTTGATCGAACTTTGTACGGCTCATAGATTCTCAGCCTCTTTTTATTCAGCTCCGGTCGAACGTTCAAATTTTCTCAACAGCATTGCGGCTCTTTATGAAAGGCATTTGAAGCCACTCGAAGAAACATGGTTGCCAGTTACATTGCCAAAAGATCCCTCAAAAACCGTGCTGCTGTTTTGATAGAAATTTTCTTTGCGCGTCTCTATCAACGTCTCTGGTTCGCATGACAACACATAAAATATCAAAACAACAATTCAGGTGGAAGTTCGCAAGATAAATTGAAGAAATCTTGAAATATTTGAATAGAAAAATAAATTAAAACTGCTTTTCAGCGCATTGGCAACCAATCTATGGACTACTACACTATTTCATTTCATGAGGACACCCGTCTCCACAATTATTTAGTAGATTCGAGGGTTACATGTGGTTCCAGTATAGCCTGATTGATACAATTGATAATCCAGCGGATCGGGTCGATTGCATCAAGAGGGATCGATCTGTCTTCAACCGAGGCTTCGAAGAATGATAGTTATTATCCGGTTGTGTTTATGTTTGACTGCTGTGGATGTTGCTTCTTCTTATTTGTGAAATGTCGATGAATGCTAAGATATATGAGAATCAGCAATATTCAGCGCAACTTTGCTTTATGTTCTCAGTACAAACACAATGAAAGCTCATAGATCAGTGCACGGTCCCTAACCTCACAATTTGGTCTTGTTGTATCCCTTTCATTTAACACCAGAGTAAAAGTGATGGCAACAGATAACTACGAATGTGTACCGAAACAAACCATCTACGTGCACTGATCTTGTTTTCGGTGCTGGATACGTGATTGACAAGAGAAAGTGCGAGCTTTCATTAGATTTCGTTGTTAAATGAAAACTGTTACCCTTTTTTACCGTACACGATGCCTCCGGTAAAATGTGTAGCGGAAAATTGGCAATGTTTGAAAAATCATTGCTCTACAATTTATCGATAGATTTAAAGTAGGTAGTTTCAGATGGTGCCAATAAATTTTAAATTTGTCAATAAATGGCTGAGCTATGATTTTTCAAACATTGCAAGTTTGCCGTTACACATTTTACCGAGGCTTCGGGTTCGGAGTGTTAATGACATATAAATGCCAATATCGCTAAGGACCAATGTACCCATTTAGTTAAACCAGGATTAAGGCTTGAGCGGAGGTCAAAAAATTGGCCTTAAGCCGCTTGATTACAATAGACGTTAGCTAAGTGGAAAACCTTGGACTGAAACAAATACTCAGTTAATGGATATTTATTTGTCAAAATTTACTTTCAATTTGTTGACATGAGCCGGATGGGCACTGATGTATTTTAAATATGTTTTATTATCAGGTTTGACACATTATATGCATTTTAGTTAGCGATTGTCCTTTGACTGGTGAAAAGTCGACACAACTCAGCGAACGTTGAATATACGTAATGGAATAATTATTTTACTTCTGTTTTTTTTCAAAACAGTTTAGTTTGCATACGAAGCATATAATTTGAAGTATTTCACTAAATACATATATAATATACATACAAGACATTTCTCTCATATAGAAGTATTAAAGAAAATCTGCAAAACTGATAGATTTAAAGCTTTGTTCAAAAACCACGAATTTTTGTAGAAGAAACCAGGAAAACCGGGTAAAAACCAGGAATTTAAAATCAGACATTCACTTGCCACCCTGTTAATGTCTGATGGGGCAAGAGTGCCACTCCTCAAATCTCTTATCTATTTTTTGTAACTGCAATAGGGCAAGATTGTCAACCCCTATCTAATCTAATTCAAACGCAGCCAGTACGAGAAAGCATTCTGGAAAATGATTAGGTTAGATGAGGTCTAATCATTCTTCTTGTCTAATTGATGTTTACAGCATATCCGAGATATGATATAAACATCAATACGGCCAGGCCTACTGCGTTGTATTTGCCCCAAAGATGATTCTTGGAAATAAATGGAAACATTTCTTGAATCTACAGGGGTGGAAGGATGCGTGGACATACCGTACCAAAGGCTCCTAGTTATACTGAGTTGTGTGTAATGTGTAAATATTTGTACAATATTGAAGAATCATAAAATAATGCAATGGAAGGATCTTACCGAATTTTTGGCTTCCACCGGCTTAAATGCCCCTAATTTGGGCCCATACATAAATTCAGCAATCGACTATATTTTCAATGGCGACCAAAAATATACATTTGTACCGTCCCAATGACGCGTTCATCCAGATAAAATTGATAAATAGCAGATTTTTAGCGATGGGCCCAATCTTAGATCCATAGGCCAACATTAGAGCCATTTCCCCTATGTATTTTTTTAGATGTTTTGCCGTACGCAGCATGAGAACTTACTAGCGAAGTGGTTTACACACATTTCTACCAAATTAACTGTCCAAAGTTGCGGTTTAGAAACAATTCAAATTCTATGAATTTTCTAAGTTTTAGTTAGAGTGAATGTGGAGAAAATGTTTCCATGTTATTCCGCTTGTATGCTTTCCACTATGTTATTATTCCACTTGAGATCATTCATGAATCATGATGAAGTCTACAGAATGCGAAAGAGTGGGTAGGGTTTTGATCTTTTTTTTTCCTCTGTTCGGGACCTAACACTACTGCGACCAGTAAATTGATCTATTGTAGTATATCCCGTGTCCTTAGTTTAGTGTATGTCGTATTACTCCATCACTATTGAGAAATGATGAAGTATTCGATTTTTTTTACAGTTGCCACTCTTGCATTTATCGCAAGGATCCGATTGAAAGGTCCCGCTATTTATACCCTTCGGAGTGTTGAAACACCCTCCAAAGGCGCGCCCCTTTGTCAGTCAAAATTGGATTCCTTAGCAACAAAATTAAGGTATGACACCGATAATGACCATGCATCAGAACCCTAGTCTTAACCACTTCAAACTAGTGAACAACGAAGAGAAGATTAGGAATCACATACATAGATGAAGACAACTAACTCATTTTTTTTGCCTTGTTTCAAGATCATCCTCGGTAGACAAAGCCGAGTCTTGTCACTATCAACAAGGCATAAAAAGTAACAAGGACTAAGATGTGTTCCTTGGATAACTGAAAAATCCTGTTCCCGTAGTTTGAAGTAGTCAGGACTAGGAATCGGTGGTAGATCTTACATCCCGTAACGTACCACGAAAAGGTGATCTACCTACGTTACGGGGCAGAGTTTTGATCTTATTTCCGTCCTACTAAGCACAACTCGCGCTTTACCTTCCTTTCTTGAACGAAACACAACAAATGAAATGTTTCTATCAAGGATGACTTCTAAATTTATTCCCCTTTCCATGAGTAC